CTGGGTAAGGTTTTAATGATGTAATAGATGTTTTAATAGATTTCCTACAGAGCCCTGGTAGCACAGTGGTTAAGAGATTGGCTGCTAATCAAAAAGTTTGAAATTACCGGCCATTCCTCGGAAGGAAGACTGGGCAATCTACTTCCGTAGAGATACTGCCTCGGAAACCCAAGGAGGTATCGCTATAAGTAGGAACTGACTCAACGGCAGTGAAATTTTTTTGTTTTGTTTTTTGCCATGGGAGAAAGATGAAGCAGTATATTTCCATAAAAGTTTATAGCATTGGAAACCTTGTAGGGCAGTTCTACTGTTTTATAAGGTCGCTATTGAGTCACAATATACTCAGTGGCCATGGGTTTGGGGATTTGGATTGTATGTTTCCTATTTCTACAAACTGGGTGGCTTAAAACAAAGATTTATGGTCTCGTAATTTTGGAGGTCAGAGCCCGAAATTGAAGTGTCGGCAGGGCCATGCTTTCCCTGAAACCTTTAGGGAAGAATCCTTTCTTGCCCCTTCCAGCTTCTTGGTGACTCAGGTAAATCCTTTGGACCTTATATCAAGGGCAATGGATTTTTTTTTTTTTTTTTAATTATCAAGAGATTTTAAGCAGCAGAGAGACTTAAGCTGATTCACATTTTAGAAATCATTCCAGTTTCGAAGCTATTCAAATATGTCCAGGAGAGAGGAGAGTGGCCCTAACAAAGGTGGAGGCAATGGGCAAGAAGAGAAACTGAGGATAATTTAGACTCATCCACTTAAAAACTGAAAGGGGTTTAGATGGTTTGTCTAATCGTTCTCTTACATGAAGAACCTGAGGTCAGAGAGGGTTAATAGACTTACTCCCATAGTGATTTCTTTCTCTTTTTCCCCTGCTCTTTGTGCATCTTTTAAGATGTTTCTCATAATTACCCAATTAAGAGCTTCATCCCTTCACACATGAACAACTTAATTTAATTTTGCTTTTGTCTACTGTTCTGTCCTTTTGGTTACCAGTTGTTTCTAGAGACAGAGAAGACTGCTAATTAACTTGCTCCATAGAGCAGTACTCACAAATGAATCATAAACACTGCTCCATGGTGCTGGATATGTATGGAGAAAAAGTGAATTCTCCAAATGCGGGGAGGGTTGCTACAGGGGTTTCAGTGGTTGATTTTACCAGGTGATTCTTCCCAGGTGTCTCTGGGTAGACTCAAACCCCCAACCTTTCTGGTTAACAGAGCCCCAGGCTTGTGGTTTTAATTAGCATTAACTAATGATTTTAAGCGCCTTCATTCAGTTTATACACAGTATGCAGGCAAAGGCCCAACTATTGGAAAGATCTTTCTGTGCTGTTGGGTCATCACAGGATGCTCAGGTGAGTTGACTTCTGGCAGGCTTATTGTGCCAGTTGATCAGACAAACTTAAAACATCTGGCAAATGTGGTAGGGGTTGGCAGCACCATCTGGGCTAAATCTCTATGTAACAAGAGCCCTGGTGGCACAGTGGTTAAGTACTCAGCTGCTTACAGAAAGGTGGGTGGTTCAAACCCACCCAGTGGCTCTTTGGGAGAAAAGAACTGGCACTCTGTTCCCGTAAGGATTATAGCCCAGGAAATCCTATTGGGCAGCTCTCCTTTGACACATGGGGTCACTATGAGTTGGAATAGATTGATAGTATCTAACAAATTCTATCTTATGAGGCTCTCAAGCATCTGTGATGGGCCTTGTTTTGATTAATGGTGAAAACTAGAGGCTTCAGAACTGCCTAACTATGAGGCTTGCTGCTATCAGGATTACCTCAGATCCTTTTTCACAGTGAAGGCCCAAGACCCCTGCCTGTTGATGTCTCTGGTGTATTGTCCAAGGACTTCTGGCAGACTCACGTTGATGTTATGCATAAAGGATCACCCTCTCACCAAGCCCTGCATCCTTATCCTATTTTTTTTTATTATTATTTTGTTTTGATTATATTTTTTAATGATTTCTGCAGCTTTACTTGAAGGTATTCAAAAACACTTTCAGAAATCCCTGACTGGGAATGGTCTAGGGAGAGTAGAACTAACCTAAGCCATCCCAGGCAGTAATCTTTACAAAAGCAGACTGCCACATCTCCTGCAGAGTAGCTGGTGGTTTCAACTGTCACCCTTTAAGTTAGCAGCCAACTGCTTAACTGCTGCACCATCACCTTTATGGAGCACAGCTCTGCTCTGACACAGAAGGAGTCACCATGAGTCAGAATCGATTTCACAGCAACTGGCTTTGCCTGGTAAACTAATCTATGGTGATAGAAATCAGAACAGTGATTGCCTATAGAAAAGAATGGGGATATACAGAGGGTGCACATGAGAATTTCTTGGGCTCAAAGAAACGTTCTATTCTTTTTTTTTTTTTTTTTTAAATCTATCTATATATACATAATTGTATATATGCAATATATATGTGATATGTGGTATATATAATATTCACCATTTCAAACTTTTTTAGTGTACAATTCATGACATTAATAATATTCACCATCTTGTGCAACTATTACCACACTCCATTTCCAAATTTTTCAACACCCTTAACAGAAACTCAATGCCCCTTAAGCAATAATTCTTCCTTTTCCCCTCACACCTACCCGTGGTAACAATTGATAAACTTTGGTCTCTGCGTATTTTGCCTATTTGAAATGCTCTAGTGAACTGCTCCTGTAAAGATTACAGCCTAGAAATCCCTACAGAGAGATTTTACTCTGTCACATGGGATTGTTATGAGTAGAAATCTATTTGACAACACCTAAGAACAATTCTTGATTGAGGTGGTAGCATTTACCCAAAAACCATGCACTTTACATATTTTTTTAACCTTAATTTTTTAAGAAATGGGAAAAAAAAATCAAGTGGGCTTAAATCCTGCAAGTTATTGGATTCAAACAGAACATCTTTAGCAATGATAAATTACTGCTGACATTTACATGGCAATTATGTGCTGGCACTATTCTAAGCCCTTTGCATCCATAAACACATTCACATCATCTGACCAACAATCCTATAAGGTAGAATACTATAACTCATTCTCATTGAATATGCTTTGGAGGTGCTTTACATAGACCAACGTGCTACAGAATTAACTCGGCAAGAGTAATTACTGTTAAGGTGACACTCTTCGTAGGTAGTGAGACCTGAGGAAACTACACAACACATGATGAGCCATGTGCCTATAACATCTCAGCCTCAGGCCCTCACATACCCTTGAACAGTCAAGATTCATGGTGTCTTGTTAAATCCTCATATTCAGGGGAGAATGGACCTCAGGCAGACCACAATGATGCACAAGCTGTTAAAAGATGCTGTATCTGGGAACTTGACATTGTGTTTCCTATTTCACAGTACCCTCAGGAAGGTGGGGTGGTTTTACACCAGTTTATTGCACCCATCTAGTGAACAGCTATTCAGAGAAGGGAGGTTTGCAGAGCACATAAAAGTATGCAGGACATAACTTATTGAAAAATACAAAAAAAAGCACACAATAAAAAACAATTAACTTTTTTACTATTAAGTGAAAGGTTGTTGGAGAACAGGATATTTGTTCAATGCCATAGCCTTATTCCTGGTTCCTCTTGCTTACTAATTACAAGGGAAAAAATGGACCTTTGCAATAGAGAGATGGGGCAATTAACTTCTTAAGTCTTCAAATTTGACAACCGTAATAAAAGGACAGGAGCCCTGGAGGTGCAATGATTAACTGCTTGGTTGCTTAAGCAAAAGGTCGGTTGTTTGAACCCCCAGACGCTCCATGGGAGAAAGATGTGGCAATCTGCTACCATAAAGATTTACAGGCTTGGATACCCTGTGAGGCAGTTCTACTCAGTCTTATATGATTGCTTTGAATCTGAATCAACTTGAGGACAGTGGGGTTTGTTGCTGTTGAATAACTGGGTAAACTGATGTGATGCATTGTGAACCACAAAACATGACCTTTAAGTATTCTTAATAAAAATGTTTATCTTGAATATTACAGGAAATAAAGAGGATAGAAAACCAAATTAAACAGTGCCATAAGGAAACAATTAGACAAATACAGAATATAGGCCATTCTATGGGACAGGTGGCCTTGAGTTTTCAAAAAGCCAGTGCAAAAACAACAGAAAAAATGAGGTGACTTCTATATTAAAAGACAGTAAGGAGGCATAACAACCAAATGCAATGTGATCCTTGATTGGCTCCTGGTTTGGTAATAAAAAGCTATGGAAATTATTCTTAGGACCAGTGGGGAAAATTAACTAGGAACTTAATATTAAATGTTAAAATGAAATTTTTAATTTTCTTAGGTGTGATAACGATGCTGTGATTATATAGAAGAATGTCTTATTCTTTGGAGATGCGTATTGTTATGTGCCAAAGTGCCAATTTTCCACTCATAGCCACCCCATGTGCAATGCCAGGTACTGTGAACACAAAGGTGGCTAAGACACCAGTTGTATGTCTCTCTGAAGCTTATTGTTATGAACTGTGTTCCCAAAAAAATGTGTTGATCTTCCTGCAACACAATTTGTTCATTCTTCTGGCAGTCCATAGTGCTATATTCAGTATTCTTCAACAACAAACATCACCGTTCCATTAATTTCCTAAAAAGATTTATGCTTCTTGTTCCTCAGTATTTTTATCAACCCTACCTGAGTTGAGGTGTTTTCCTGAGGGATTCCTGTGAACTTTGGAAGCTACGATTCTGAGGAAGGAAGGTTTCTGCCAACGAATTCTCGAAACCATGAGCTCGTACCTGTTCAGACCAAACCCCCAAACTATGACCAGGCTCGGGCGGAGACAAATCCGAGACAAGCCTAATCAGAGCGGAACCTGTTGTCCCCGGAGCCCCGCCCCGGCTGAGCGCCCTCGCCAGCACGCCCCATTCTGATTGGTCGACCCTTCCAGCTTACCGGCATTCCCTTATCCAATCGGCGTAGCACTTATTCAGCGGCAGCGGTTACCGACGTACACAGGGGTTTCAGTGTCCTGTGGAAAGAGGGGGAGGTCAGGCCATGAACTTAGGGTAAGACGTGGAGAGGAGCTTGGTCGGAAGGGAAGAAGAGGGTAAGGCTGGGTTGGACTTTGGAATCCTTTACGGAGAACTTTCTGAGCTGCCCAGCCTCGAGCAGCAGTGGCCGTCTCCCTTAGGGTAAGACGTGGAGAGGAGCTTGGTCGGAAGGGAAGAAGAGGGTAAGGCTGGGTTGGACTTTGGAATCCTTTATGGAGAACTTTCTGAGCTGCCCAGCCTCGAGCAGCAGTGGCCGTCTCCCTGGGTGTGGGAGGGGCGAAGGAGCGGGGGGCGGGGGGCGGGGGGCCTGGACCTTTACTGGCACGGTAGCCCTCGCTTTTCACCTTCAAGCTTGCATTGAAACTGTCCATCACCTCCTTCCGCACCCTCCTTTCCCTCGGGAAGGCGAAGGAGGAGAGGCGTGGCGGAGAAGGCAGATGGAGAGATAAAGCCTAACGGGATTCCGGGGAGAAATCCTGGCCCAAGTCTCTCGTTCTATGGGACCTGTCTTTGAAGTTTTGCTGAATGTCAAAGTGCTTAGTATAGTTTAACACTGTCTGCAGATGTGAGGAACCAAGGCTTCTCAAAGAAACTGTGTTATCGGTGCATGGTACCTAATAATTAAAAAAAAAAAAAAACCCACTGCCATGGTGTTGATTCCAATTCATCGCGACTCTATAGGGTTTCCAAGGTTGTAAATTTTCAGGGAGGCGGACTGACTCATTTTTGTTTCGCGCTGGTTGTAATCATTTTTTGCTTGGCAGCTGTGCCACCCGAGGTCCTTGGCACCTACAAAAAAAACACAAACTCACTGCGACCCCTTCTTGGGTTTCCGAGGCAGTATCACTACAGAAGTAGGATTGCCCAACCTTCCTTCCAAGGAGTGGCCGTCAGCTTTCTGGTTAGTAGTCAAATGTGTTGGGCTCTATGCTACCAAAGCTCCTCATTGGCAACTAATAGGCCCTTATTAAGTGCTTAAGGCACTTGACTGCTAACCAGAAGGCTGGCGGTTCAAACCCACCAGCCACTCCACAGAAGGAAGATTGGGCGATCTACTTCCCTAGTCATACCGCCTCGGAAACCCAACGAGGGGTCGCGATGAGTCAGAGACGACTCTACGGCACATAACAACAAGAAGTTTGTTGTTGGTTGCCGTCCGGTAGATTGGACTTCTTGGCGACACTCGTTAAGTATACTTTAATAATTAAAAAGGGCTGTTGTATTGTTTTCATCCTCGAAAGTTAAATTAATAGTCTGAGAAGATAAAAAGACACCAAACCCAGACTTCACTGCGTATTGTTTAGCAAGGAAATTTTATGTTCAGGAATCTGAAAATACAGAAACAGGCTGCTCCTTTAGAAGTTATCGGTGCGGTGTGGAACAGATATTTTGCAGTTGCATACAGGTTTCCTTTTTGGTAACGTTTTACTAACAAACATGAATTGTTCATAACCCTGCATGCAACAGGAAAATTCTTAAACCTATTCCTAACAGTGTTGTTTTACCTTTAGTAAGTTGAGGTAGTTTAATTCTGTTGCAAATTCCTATTGCTGATCAGATCTTTCCCACTTTTTCATCCTTGCCTTGCCAGCAAGGTATAATTCTGCCTCTTGGACTTCTCTTTTGTCTCCGTTAATGTGTTTTAGTGTACACTTTTTATCCCCCTTCCAGTAAAATAGTGAATTACTACCATTTTTGTTTTCAGCAGAATTTTACTTAGCGCCTTAACAGATGTACAATTATGTTGGTGATGTCTGCTGTTAATTTATGCTCTTGCTTTTTACATGCACATAAAGAATATAATAGCAGCCAAAATTTGTTAAAGATCTGTTACTATTAGTAACAAAGTGTTGTTAAGTGTGACTATGTATTCTTTGAAATGTTCAAAATTAAGGGAAATTTTGTCCACAAGCATTTAATAACCCCGGTGGCAATATCATAGCTCATTTTCAAATAATGCTCTAGCATTCTATAGAACTCAGTTTTAGTAGTGAGGTCCTTATGAAACTACTGCATGTTACGCCCTGCTCCTTTAACTTAAGTACATTTTGATGAGAGCAGCGCCCCCCCCCCCAGCATTGTAAGAGTTAAATGGTAATAATACTGAATGAGTTTATTGCTTACCAATAACAAAATGAGGTTCAGGTTAAAGATAACAAATTCTTGAATTACTGAAAAGTTTCAGGAAGAAACTTTCTCATTGCAGTTTTTAGTTTTATCTTGGATTTAAAAGGTTTGAATGGAAAGACTTAATTGATAGTTACATCATATGATTTGATGGTATTACACGATTCCTTATGAATTCAAAGGAGCAGATTTACTTTTGAGGTTCATATGCGTATTTCTGGCTAAGATGTTGCTATTTCTTAATGACACACTTTCCTTTCATTTTTCAGAGATGGTTTAAAGCTTGAAACTGAATTACTGGATGGAAAAACCAAGCTAATATTGTCTCCATATGGTATGCTGTGTTACAGGAAATTTAAAATGTTAACTTTTAAATTTTTATATAAAATTTATACTAGTTTACAGACTTTTTGCTTGTAATAGGGCAAGACTGTAGACACTGAGACAAAGTTCAATACTTTGAAAAAGGCTTTTGAAATTTTGCTCAAATTTATTTTTAATAGAAACACAGCCACAGCCTTGGAGTCGGATCTGACTCATAACGACCCCTCCTTGGGTTTCTGAAGCAGTATCACTATAGAAGTAGATTGTCCAGCCTTTCCAAGAAGTGGCTGGTAGCTTTGAACCACCAGCCTTCTGGTTAGCAGTCAAATGCCTTAGACATTATGCCACTGTTGTTGTTGTTGTTGTTATTTGCCATCGAGTCGGCCCTGACTCCTAGCGACCCCTCCTTGGGTTTCCGAGGTGGTTATCACTACGGAAGTAGGATTGCCCAACCTTCCTTCCGAGGAGTGGCTAGTGGGTTAGAACCGCCAGCCTCCTGGTTAGCAGTCAAGTGCCTTAGGCACTATGCTACCAGAGCTCCTAGACATTATGCCACTAGGGCTCCCAAATTTACTTTTAGCCAAGTTAAATTATATCATTACTTACCACTGTCATGATTTAGATTCTCAAAACTTAAACTTCTAGTATATTTCATGTGTAATATATTGAACATATTTGTAGTCTGTTTACAAATAGCAAATATCCTTATTGCCTGATGAATAATACAGATAAAAAAATACATAATTATGTTCTTTGCATATAGAGTGTACTGCTTGAGAAAAATTTATAGTTTAAGACCATAGTTATTTGATTCATTTTCAGTATTAAAATGAACCTTGAACTCAAGACTGTATTTTGTTAATCTTCTCATTCACATTATTTGTTTTCTTTTTCTCTGATGTGTTTATAGTTTTATCTCGGAAAGATAACCAAATTAAAAAATGAAATAGAAATATTTGTGCCACACTGTAGAAGTAAGAACATTCAAGCAGGAGTAAACATTAATGTTTTGTGGAGAATATTTCTTAATATATTCTTAAAACAATGCTAATTTTTCTCTCATGACTGCCTTTGTATATTTTTGGTTGATAGTTTAGTAATTTTTTTTTCTTTTGTAGAATGTAAATCAAAAATTTCTGTGAAGGTAAGCCAAATGACTTTGACCTGACCTGTTTTCAGATGTAAAAATGAAGTTTCTTCACAGTGCTTTGAAAATAATTCCTGGGAATGTCAGAACATTAAAAGGGTTTAGAGTGATGGTGAGAAGTTATTGTTCTCTTGCTTTCAGGCTGGTCCTTTCACAGAAATAGAATCTTACTACTTTTCAGTTTGTGAAAGCCTATAGAATCTTTCTCTCTAGACCAGTGCTATCTAATAGTACTTTCTGCAGTGATAGAAATGTTCTAGAATCTATGCTGTCCAATATGTCCAATATGGTGTGGTTATTAAGCACCTGAAATGTGGTTAACCAAAAACCAAACTCATTGCCATCAACTCAGTTCTGCCTCACAGCGACCCCTCCTTGGGTTTCTGAGGCAGTATCTCTACAGAAGTGTATTGCACAGTCTTCTAAGGAGTGGCTGGTGGGTTTGAATCGCCAGCCTTCTGGTTAGCAGTCAAATGCCTTAGGCACTATGCCGCTAGAGCTCCCTGAAATGTGGTTAGGGTGATTAATTTTATTTAATTTTTAAATAATTTAATAGCTTCTATAGTGGACAGTACAGCTTTACCCAAACCAAACCAAACCAAACCCATTGCTGCCAAGGCTATTTTGACTCATGGTGTTCCTATAGGACAGAGCAGAACTGTGCTGTAGGGTTTCCAAGGCTGTAAATCTTTAAGGAAGCAGAGTGCTGTGTCTTTTTCCTGTGGAGTGGCTGGTAGGTTTGAATCTCAGACCTTCTGGTTAGCAGCTGAGCACTTTAGCCACTGTGCCACCACAGCTGTTTAATACAGCTGTAGAGATCTTTAAAAATAGATATTCTGACTTTAAAACAAAAAAAAAAAAATGTATTTTCTTTTCATACTCAGATTCCATTCTATCACACAAAAGGGGATATTTGATTCTCATGCTCTTCCATGCATTTAGCTTTCTCCTTTAAGAGATCACACTTGATTTTAATGGTGATCTTCCTGTATCAGGAACCTATTGTGGTTTTTTTTTTTTTTTTACAAAATACATTGCTGTTGTCTGCCATCAAGTTGCTCTGACTCATAGTGACCCTTTATGATAGGGTAGTACTGCCCCATAGCGTATCTTAGGCTGAAATCTTTACAGGAGCAGATTGCCAGGTTTGGGCTGGTAGAACTGCTGACCGTTTGGTTACCAACGAACACTTTAACCATTGTGCAACCAAGGCTCCTTACAAAATATATTGTCACTTAACAAATTTTTTATACCACTGCTCTTGTTCCCTATTTCTTTTCTATTTCAGGAGAAATCTTTCCTCTTCCACAACTTACTGTAACCCCTCTTCCTCCTGTGTTTGCAGAGTCTGTTGTTGTGTATCTATGGTTAGAGAGTAGCTTGGATGATGTAGCACTTCAGCACTTTTTTTCCCTTCAACCTTGGGCCTTTCATGGCTTTACTATTTCTTCTAAGTTTAATCAAGGTAGAGGAGTTGGCTTGAGTATCCAACATATCAAGCACTGTTGAAATATGTGATGATCATTAGAGTAATTACACAGTTAACCTATAAAAATTATTGTTTCTGTGGTTATATACTTTGTGCATTCCCTGAATCATGGAATATACGTTGTATATTATTTCCTGGCCCTTCCCTATTAAAATAACAGCCATGTATCATTTAACGTCTGTGATATGTTCTGTGAAAGAGGTTGTTATATAATTTGGATGTTGTGTGAACAACATTTTGTATACATACAGTCTCCAGGTTACATATGAGTTCTGTTCCTAAGTTGGTCTTTAAGTTGAATTTCTTCGTAAGTCAGAACAGTTCGGTATGGTTTGTATCTAGTCGGTCAAATGTTTGCCTTATTATATAGTGTATAGTGTACCTCTCTATGCATTAAACATTAAAGAAACATTTCCAGATACACTAAAATATCTTTAACACAATAATACAATAATAATGTTTTGATGCAAGTTGCAAAATAGTGCCTGTTTGTTATTATGAACCATTGTATATACTGCAAATTTTTCATATCATAGGTCTTACAGGGGTTTGGAACTAAGTATGTACATGCAGTCAGATGTTTCCTGAATGGACATTATGTGGCCCCTGACTTTATTGCAATTAACTGCTCTTATTTGAGTCACATTAACCAATAAAGTGCCCTTTTTCAAGCTTCTAGATAAAAAGCTCCCAAATGTTTGATTTCTATCTTCCCCTTTCCTCTATTCTCTTTTACATTTTCACAATTCTTTTGATGCTCCTGTGGATTTGCTCTGGGTGTCACATTGGTGAAGACATTTCATTGTCCATTTAACAGTCTCAGAACATTTGGAGAGACCCTTGTATGTCTATAGTAAGAAAAGTTATTAGTCATGGGCTTCTGCAGAATCATCACAAAATTCTCTCAGCAGTCTAAGGATATTTCATCATAGAAATTTTTCAGAGTAAATAATGTGTTCTCAGCTGATGAAGATCTTAAATTATCTGTGGTAGTTAAGTTGTGTGTCAACTTGGCTGGGCCTGATTTTGAGTGGCTAGGTGTAGGATGTAGTTATTCCCCATGATGAGGGAGGTGGGTAATCAGCTCCATAGTGGAATCTACTGTGAGCAGCTGAGTAGCTGCCTCAGGGATGTCATCTGCTTCTAGTATATAAGATGACACTTTGAGAAAGGTCTCTGAACTTTTTGGCATGCTTGGACCCTGCATGTAGCAGAGTCTTCATTCAGCAGTCTGCTATGTTGTCTGTTGATCTTAGGATTGTTCCTGGACTTGAACCAGTGGCCTGCCATATTGTGTGATAATCTTGGGACTGTGCCTTTTTACATGCCAACCTTGGGCTTATTTAGCCTTAGCAGGCAGCAGCTGCCTAAATGAAGAGATGTCTCCAGCTCCACTGGGCTGGGAGCAAGAGGCAGAGCTGAAGCCCAAAGTTAAGGGATCTTCACCCAGCCCCTAGAGCTGGCACTTTGAATTCAGACTTCTAGCTCCTAAACTGTAATAGAATAAATCCCTGTTAGTTAAAGTTGTCCACTTGTATTTCTGTTACAGTAGCACTGGAGAATGAAAACACTGCCTAAAGGCAAATTGTTTGGATTTGTCCATATTGAATTTGGGACTCCAGAATACTGATGCAACCTAAGTCTCCTGCAAAAATGGTATAGGGCCATTGTCATCTGATCTCCTCTAACTTCATGGGGGGAGACAGAATCACCATCAGCAGCATCAGGCCAAGGCTGATTCCTGTGAGGCAAGGTCAGTTATGCTGCCACTGCAACCTTTTTGCCAATTCTGACACCAGCTGTCCTTCCCATGCATGCTCTACTTCTCCACTAGGTTCGATAATTTGCAGTGGCCACCCAAAACTCATAGACAATACTTACAATTATGGGGTTTATTAGGTTACAATTTACAGTTATGGGGTTTATCAGGTTACAATTCAGATTCAGGAAGCTCGAGATACAGTTCTTCAATCAAGACCACTTCCCCTTAGCTGTGCTCCTAAGGTGAGTTTCTTTCTGGCCTGTGGCCTGGCCTCTGGCCTGATCCAGCAAGTGTTGAAAAGCTCTTTTAGCTTTACCGTGCCCAGAGAGCACTCTACTCTGCCAGCAAGCCTCCTGCCTGGAGGCACTCAGCTTTCTTGCTTTGTGAGCCACCAAGCCTGCAGCTCTCTCTCATGTTAGTCTTTTGGTTCAGTTGCCTCTGCTGCTGCTGTCTTTGTCGTTTCAGCACAGGGATCGTTGGTCCAAGGACAGATTCTACTCCTGGCTCTTCTGTCTTGATGACAATGAGATCCTTTCTTTTCACTTCTGAGATGGCTCATTTTAAGCATAGTGACATGGCAAAACTCACAATCTCCACATTAGGGTTCCATACACCTTGTTTCTATGGCCCCACCCTCACAAGAGTGCCACATACCTTATTTACATTATTAGGAAGCTATCCGGCTCCTTGGTGGGCCACAAGCACCTCACATTTGCATAGTCCCACCTAGTCATCTGGTGGGAGTTACAAAGACCATGGCTAGAAGAGCCACAGCAAGTAATTCACTGTACCACATCATTTTCCTGTATTGAGTTCTTTCAAGGATTGTCTCTCTTCCTTATTTATAGATGTTACAGAGGTCCTCCTTACTCCTTTTTATGCTCTTTACAGAAGATAAAACACCAAAATAAAAACTTTGTCATCAGTTTTTATCTCCTGAGTTTCACAGGTATATAGCTGTTTATTGAATTCTTTTTTTGTAAGTTACTTATGAATTCTCTCCTCAAGTGGTTTTTCTTTATATTGATAAAACCTCCTGAGTGGCAGTAAGACCTAGCGCTCTCTACTTTCCCCTTCTTCATAGATTCAATTACTCCATAATGTGGTCTTTAAACATAGCTGAACTCTCTTAATAAAGTTGAACACATCTTGTGATCAAAGTGCTTTCTTAATTCTATCAAAATCTCTCCTGCATTTTCTTTTAACCTGAACTAATGAATATGAAGTGCAGATGATTACCAGCCTACTTCCTTCAGGTTACAGAGAGAGAAAGAAGTACAAATGATCAGTGTCATGGATAATTTATAAAGATAATGAATTAAAAAATTATTAGTCTCACAGATTGTTGTTGTTAGGTGCTCTCAAGTTGGCTCTGACTCATAGCGACCTTGTGTTCAACAGAACGAAATACTGCCCAGTTCTGTGTCAGCCTCACAATCCTTGCTCTGTGTGAGCCCATCATTGCAGCCACTGTGTCACTCCATCTCGTTGAGGGCCTTCCCCTCTTTCGTTGACCCTCCGCTTTTCCAAGCAGGTAAAGTGGGAATGGTCCCTTCTGACAACATGACCAAAGTAGGTGAAACGAAGTCTGGTCATTCTCACCCCCAAGGAGCATTCCAGCTGCACTTTTTTTTT